AATACAGTAATAAACTTCGGAGCACTGTTTTTAGGTGCCATGTAGCTGGGCTCCTTATTCGCCTGCAGTCAGGGCTTACTGTTTGGGAGCTGCCCAGGCTGGAGGTGAGTGTGGGTGAGTGACTGATGAATGAACCCTTGTCTTAAATTGACGCTTCCTTTGAAGATACCTTGCTGTGACCTTCCCCGTGCCTTCCCCGTGGCTCCGCTTCTCAGTCTTCATAACTGAGTCCTGCTGCTGGAGATGAACTGAAGAGTTCAGTCTCTGGAGCCCACCGTGACATCTGGGTGCACGTGTATGTTTTTTCCCTTTCTATTTTCATTAACTTGAAACGTTTCCAGCTCAGTCGTGCTGGGTACGTGCATCGAACATGGCAACACGACAACATCCCTCAAAAAAGGGTGTTTTGCAGCTGGACACCTGTCTGTCTCTTGGAGAGGCTCCATCCTTCCTGCACCACGAACCTGCTACGTGTTTTGACCTGTAGCTACTTGGCCAAAGCTTATACATCAGGGGACCATTTGCTTCAAGGAATAGTGGGATACTGGGTAATGAACAGAAGATACGTCCTCTGCCAAGGGGTCAGTAGTGGCTTCCCAGTGCAGCTGCCCCGGAGATGCCAGGCGTTTCAAAGCAGGCAAACTCTGTTGGCAAGAGCCACCTCTTGCCAAGTGCGCCAACATTTCCAGCTTCTAAAGCTGCTCTTGTTGTTGTTTTGGTGCACTTTTTTGTGACTTTTTTGGAGAAGGCAAAATACCATCCTAGAATGAAAGGGGTGAATTAGGATCTGTGGGGTGAGCCGTGCTAACATGGGACAGTGAGCAAAGCAGCTTCGGTACTCGCGCACTGTTTTTCCACTGACATTTTTCAGTGCAGGTGAAAGGAGAGGGCAATGTTTCTCTTAAATTGTTTCACATTTTAAATATCGATGCTCAAAAATAATGAGATGCGCGGTGACTCAACGGCCTGGTGTATTTAGAAACCCAAGCCAGAGCTCTGTCCACGTACTCCTCTATTCCCACAACTAAAAGTAGTACCTGAGTGTGGGCCAGGTTTAACGTTGCCCTGAGAGCCCAGCTGACTTCCCAGTTGCTCATGCCTCCAACCAAAATGCCAGTTTAGAAGATTTCAGTGCACATTGCTAAATATCATCTTCTTCCCATTGTGACGAAGCAGCAGGCTGTGCCCAAGATGTTCAAGGTCCTTCTCAATCCCTTTCTTTCCCTCTTGGATTTGAAGCCTGGCGTATCATGCTGCAAAAAAGGGTAAGAAATAGCTAGAACATTGAGCATGTTAGAAGATCTTTCCTGTGTAGTCCGGGACATGAACCCTACTGTATTTCCAGTTAACAGGATCAGAATAACTCAGGAGTTATATTTAAAATTCGCTTTAAGAAGCATTTAAGGCGGGCTCTCGCCACAGCCCAAATAAACGGATAACGCAGAGTCAGCGGCTGTTAATGACAGCAGAGGCCGAGCCGGCGCCGAGGTCCTGCCCCTTGCTGCTCCCAGGAGTACACAGACCTTAAAAAGAGCATCCATATGTTTTTATCACAGGCTTAGTTGCGTGGAGACGTTGTCCAGCAGTCGGCACCCTAGAAAGCCACGTTTTCTTCTGCGTTGCCAAAGGTATAAGGTGTCCTATTCTGCCCAGATTTGCTGTGATGCCCCCAGCTTTTAATGCAAAATCTGGAGTGGTATGGGAGGAAGTTCTGCAGTGGCTTTTTTGCAAAAATCGTTTGTAAAAACCTGGGCATGAAACGGAGGTAAGTCTCTGTGGCACTTAAAATTCATAACATGGAAGGAAAAATGTCTTAAGAAGTAGTAAATTCGGATCTTCTTCCATATATTCTGTTGGCATTGCCAAAACTGATTTCCAATCTCCTTTTTTTTTTTTTTTTCTTTTCTTGATCCACCCTTGTTAACTATTCCCAATAGTGTATTCCCTGGAAAACTATGCTTGTGTGTGAGCCCCAGTGCAAACTGAGGCTCTTACGCTGCGGGACATTGCAGAAATCCAGAATCCCCCTTGGAAACTTCCCTAGACCTGCATGGCACTAAT